CATGCTTTATGCATGAAAAACTGGCTGGTTTACTTTGGGCAAGTTACTCTCTCTTAGCCCAACTTACATCACAGGGTTATTGGAGGCTGAGCAAAAGTTGTTGGACAAAGAGTGATCAAAAAGTTATTCTACAAGGTGAGAATGCTCTTCAAGGTGGCACCAATCATTCCCTCCATCAGAAAGATAACTCTCACTTTCTGAATCTACTGTCTCATCCCTGAAGTAGCTCACAAATGAATCAGGAATGAGTTGGGACCAACCTAAAGGAGGCATAATTCAAAGAGTTAAGAACCTTACCCAGGCAAGAACTGGCAAGTAACGTATCTCTGAATGAGCAGAGATGATGACTGTGGCTAAGACCAAAGAATTGCTGAATAGACCAGTTCCACAGTACTTCTTTGGATAAGGATAGGATAGGAAGATTGCCCACTTGTGCTCTGGACAGCTTCTATTCATAAGGAAACCACAGGACAGTGGTTTCCCATGGATTTGAGAGCCAGGAGATGAAGAGAACCATCATGGAAAAAGTTTCCACATTTACTAAATTACTAATGGAGACTTTTAAAATAAACTGAGTTTTCTAACTCACTTTCTAATCTCATTTGAAATTACCCATTCCACTATTTCAAGGATACTAGAGATTTTCAAAATGACAAGTTTGAAAATCTGCTTGGTGAATTTACCTTTGCTTTTAAATAAAGAATAGAAGCAGTCCCAGCAATGCTACATGCTTTCAAGAACAGATTATATACTAAAGATACTATTGGTGTGAAAAAGGACATCTTGGAAGATTTTACAAGGTAAACAGATGAAACAAATTTTGCTTGATGGATAAGCATCAAAATATAAAGAATTTTCAGAAGTAGTGGAGAAGTAAAATATTATGACTATAAAACTAAGAAAATTACTAAAGGAAAAATAGAAATGATAAGCCAATAAATTGACCTGGATAAGGACTTTTTACTGGACTAAAACAATAAGTTGGTTATAATCCTGAACAAATCTTTGAAATGGGAAAAATTAAATTGAAAAGTGATCAAATCCTATGACAGCATCTGAATGAATTAAAGATTAAAATTGTTAGAAGCAAAAGGAAGGAGTATAAAGTTGGTTACTTTGCATATAATTCTTTTTCTATCTATAAGATTAATATTCAACTGAAACCATATTTTTTCTTGCTGGACCTAATGGACAGATAGCTAAATTGGACTAATGTCTGATTATTTTTGTACATGATAACTGCAGCGAGATTATTATGTGCAAAAAGATGGAAGGATTCTGAAACAGTCACAATGGTTGGTGAAGATGACCAAATTTCCAGAGATGCAAAATTTGATTAGAAAATGAAAATTTGAAAGTTTGATTAGGAACAAGTTAATAGCTACATTTGTGACTGGAAATCCTTTATAGACTTTTGGCTGAAAGCAGGGGGGGAAATAAGTTGTGATTTGTGGACTTCTTAGAAAGAGTACGATATGGAAATAAAGGAGCCATGATGCAACTTTGGATAAAATATATTTACAACTGCTGTAAAAAAGTTTGGAAGCCACTCCTTTATATCTTTTTTCTTTCTTCTTCCTTTGGACTTTGACATTTGTTGATGAGCATTTACCACAGGCTAAATTTGCTGCAGATACAATGTCTGATGTTTCCAGAAACCTAATACAACAGTACCACACTGAAATCAACCCTCATATTGTCATAATAATACATATACATAACTGGATCTATGATACCGGATAATAGATATGCAGTGGGAGTATCTGTTGCAGGAATGATTTTCTGAATGACATCCATTGAGAGACTCAATGGGATTGGAATTTCAAAATATCGTGTTTAAAATGAATTTTTCTGTTTTGCAGAATGTATGTACTTTTTGACCATTGTTTACATCTTCATCAAACTGCATGGAGTTCCTCTTTGGGGGGATCATGATAGCAATACATTGTTTGCCTAATACAGTATTCTGAAGTACAATGCAAGTGTACTTATTTTTAAATGGTTCGGGCTACGCATGATTCAGAGAGAAGCATAAGCTGCTTAAAAGCAAGCTTTATGCTTGAAATGGTGAATGCCATTCATAATACCAAGTGCCTTACCCAACAATGGTAGGAGGTTAAAGACTTCATTTTACACAGGGATAAATGACAAATGGAAGACGGTATTAGCACAGATTAGGGTGCTTTTTGAAAACATGCCATGTGTGACCTACTACTCAGACTTGCAGTTTAGCAATCCCAATCCATCAGCTTTTGATTTTCTCTGTACTAAAGCATTGTTTAACAAGTGGGGTAAAGATTGTCTGCTGTTCACCCAGCTTTCAAGCCATCATCTGGATTCTTCTTCCTCCAATGGCTTCTATTCTAGCATCGGAGATCTATCTTGTAGTGGGAAGTGTAGCAACTTCACAAGGATGCTGCCTGAGCCAAATGAGTTGGTATCTTTCTTAGAGTTTCAATGACTCATAAACTGCCTTGCAGGAATATGAGGGAATAAGGGCTGCCGCATTGATTCTGAACTAGATATTTCTGCGAGCTTTGTTGAGATTCAGTTTTGTTTTGCTTTTAAGAAATTATTGGAAATGCTATTCTTGATTAACATGTTTATTAGCGTGTTGTCAGACTGATACAATTTAAATGGCAAATAATGTTTTATTGCAGTTTTTATGTGATTTGTGTTTTCACAGTGAAATTTAACTACTGTGCAAAATCTTTACTGATGGCAAAGGCTGTGTAGAGACTTTGAATAAAGTTTCTTTGTGATGTGCAGTAGTGTGTCAAAAACACTCCTATTCAAATTTTCTCATGCAGTTGCTTCAGAAATGCTTCTGGCTATCTGTGTCTGTGTGAGTCCATACACAGCCATCTAGCTGTGAGAAATTATTGGAAAGCATGTTTTTCAAAAGATTTATACAGTCATATTTAGATAAATTTAAGGACCCAACCTTATATATTTTTACTTGAAAATGAGTCATATTTAGTATAAGTATAAAGTCCAGTGCCTGTTTGGAAGTCAGACTTATACCATGTTCAATGAGGTTTAATAAAAATAAGTATACAATCACCCAACAGCCTTACTTTCTTTCCTAGCTAATAGTCTGTGATCCACAAGAATTAACAATGTTCTATGATCTTGAATAGTTTCAGGAACTTATAGCTAGACGTTTGATCGGTGGCTTTTGCATTGTTTCATTAGAAATATAGGGTTAGGGTTAGTTATATCCTGTGTGGATTCATTTTTGTGAGCTCAGTTTAGAATCTTTGTGACATGCTACAAAAGCAGTGGTTCTTTAATTATAAAGTGTTGGAATCTGGCAACCCTCTATATATTAGTATATGTAAGTGCTGTTATACACTGTACATAACAGTTATATACAGTTATATACTGTTATATATTGTCCATATACTGACTTTTATGCATTCTCATCCTGGACCATATTGCTTTGAATAAATATCCCTATGCAGAATTTTTATATTGATTTAGAGGTATTTTTATAGGTACAAGTATAAACATTTTATATTCTCATGAATGTGCAGAGAATGTTGGAATTATATGACTTATAAATATTGTTAATAACAATAACACAAATATTAAATGCTAATCAGTGTATGAAATGTTAATTGATAATACAGTTAATCCCTTTGTCCATTATTTATTCATTAAGAAAATATTTACAAGTACATATTTTTGTATATTTTTGACTTTTATAATGCCCGAACAACATAGATACACTATTTCAAACTGTTGTTTGAACCAAACAGTAAGATCAATATACCCTTGAATTTATCACTTGAATGTATTTTCTTTCTTTCTTACTGCTTCTGAATTCTTTCTCATGATTTGATTTGTTTATCTCCTATCATAGATTTTGATTTATTCATATTTGAGAGTGTCTATGGTAATTTGCCAATGAAAAGAATAAGCTTCTCCTTTGTTAACATCCCTTTAAGTGGATCAAAAAAAAATCTTAATGATTTTTTTTTATGGACATTCAGTGTTCTCTCATAAAATCTTACAAAGTCTCAACAGTGAAATCGTGTAACTTTGTGTTTTAGTATCTGTTTTTTGATATTTGAAAACTGTAAGACTTTTTTGTATGCTCATGATGGTGTTGACCTGAAAATGTTACTGACTTGTAGTCTGTATTTTATCACATAAGAAAGCATGAAATAATTCTGCCCAGTTCTGATAAAAATAATTGATCAATGAATCCATGGAAATGGGCCAAAAGAAAGTAGGTAACGAGAGTAGCTGATAGATAGCTACATAGATAGAAGGAAAGGAAATAATGTCCCCATGTATTGATGTATGTTTCATGTATGTTTCTATATTCATGTATGAGTATAAATTTCACTTGTGAACTGAAAATGTTGCACTGTGGGGTTTCTTTCCAGATTTTTCTTCTTCTCTGATCTTAAAGCTTTGGGAAAATATTATATACTACATATTATATATTATAAAGAGCCTCGGTGGCGCAGTGGTTAGAATGCAGTGCTGCAAACTACTTCTGCTGATTGACGGCTGGCAGCAGTATGGCAGTTCAATTGTCATTGACTCAAGGTTAATTCAGCCTTCCATCCTTCTGAGGTCGGTAAAATGAGGACCCAGATTGTTGGTGGCAATAGGCTGACTCTCTAAACTGCTTAGAGAGGGCTGTAAAACACTATGAAGCGGTGTATATAAATCTTAAGTGCTATCACTATTGCTATACCCCAAATTGTACAGTGATTAGATGCTTATGAAAATGAAAGATACATGTTAGAAAAAAAAGATATTTTCAAAATGTTTTGTTTTTTATACTAAGTTTAAAATGATCCACAGAAATCTAATACTTCCAGCATTACATGTGCTATATAATTATTTGTCTATTTTTTCATGCAAAGTGTAGATTGAAATATATATGTAGTGACTATTTTATAGATAATTATTGCAGTAATTATACAGCAGAGTAAATTAGGGATGCTCGTTAAATAAAATTGTTGCACTCTTTCATCCTTTAGTTGAAAGATGTATGAGTGTTATGCAATCTGGGACTCAGATGATTAAACTGAAACATGGAGCCAAAGGGTTAGTGCGTCTTTTTTATCTTGATGAACACAGGACGTGCATCAGATGGAGGCCCTCCAGGAAAAGTGAAAAGGCAAAAAGTAAGTTCTTTTGAAGTTATTGTTTACTTTGCTTGCTTTATGATTCTTTTTAATTCGCAAGAGCATGTCACAGCATTAGTCTGTCCCTAGGAATGGTTGTGATTAAACTCGGTGCCATTATTAACCACCTCAAAATTAAGATTGTAGACACAGGAAAGAAAATACTTGATTTCCAGTTCTTCACTGATTCTTTATCCATAGGCTAAAAATTGAGCATATAAGATATACGTGAGATCTTCATGTGAAATATGTTCTATATTAGGGGTGTCAAACTCAAAGCCCAGGGGCCAGATCCAGCCTGTGAGGTGCTTACATCTTGCCCATGACACTGTTCTGTGAAAGACCAGCCCATGGTGCCTCTGCCAGCAAAAACAGAGCTGTAGGCAGCCCTCCCAACCTACAATTTTGCTGGCAGAGGGTTGCAGGAGGCCGTCGCAGCTGAAATGGAGCTTGCCAGCCCATTTTCACTGGTAGGGTGTTTGGGCCTCCACAGGCGTCTTTGACACGAGTTACATCAAGCTGTCCATACCCACTTTGGCCACTCCCACTCTGGCCCCCTGAGGTCAAACACAACACTGATATGGCCCTCAATGATATTGAGTTTGACACCCCTGTTCTATATTTTCATCTGTACAGGTTACAACAGTTCATTTAGTTGCAACAGCAACTGAAAAAAGCGACTTATGACCATTTTACACACTTATGATTATTGCAGCTTCCCCATGGTCATGTGATCAAAATTTGGACATTGGCAACTGATTCATATTTGAGGGTTGCAATGTCCTGGAATCATATAATCATTTTTTGTGACCCTTCTGACAAACAAAGTCAGTGGGGAAGCCATATTCACTTAACAACCGAGTTACTAACTTAAAAAAGTGTTGTGTTCCTCTTAAAAACTGTGTCAAGAAAGGTCATAAAATGGGACAAAACTCACTTAACAACTGTTTTGCTTAACAACAGAAATTTTGGGTTGTTGTTTTTTTTTAAATTGGAGGTACAAAAAGTCTCCTACATGAATGAGGTAAAATATTTCATTTCACTGTTTTGTATTTTGGGGAGTTATTTTGGGTGGATTTTGTGAGACAAGAATGGGATCAGGCTTATGGCCACTTTCAGAATGCAATCTTTGACATGAAATGCAAAGCCATATCTGAAGTTTACAGAAGTTGTGCATTTCTGAATTAATTCATTATCATAGATAAATTAGTTCCTGGATTAATTTACTAATATAAAATGGAATATTGCAATCAGCTGTATGATAAACCAGATTATACCGTTTTATTATTGTTTTCACAGTCATTATTGATTCTATCTACAAAGTCACTGAAGGTCGGCAATCAGAAATATTCCATCGCCATGCAGAGGGCAACTTTGATCCAAGCTGCTGCTTTACAATTTACCATGGCAATCATATAGAATCATTGGATCTGATAGCTTCTAACTCAGAGGAAGCACGCACCTGGATCACTGGACTGAAATACTTGATGGCTGGGATAAGTGATGAGGACTCTCTTGCTAAAAGACAGAGAACACACGATCAATATCCTTTCAAAGCTATATTCTGGGACAATATAGTGATTCTGATTGATCTGTCTTGATTTACTTATTAATAATTTTTATGCCACCTTTATTATTTCATAAGTAATTCAAGATGGTGAGATATATAATACTCCTCCTTTCTTCCTCACATGTGAGATGAGCTGGGCTGGAAGAGAGTGACTCAGGGCCTAAAGCTAGCTTTCATGCCTAATCTGGGACTAGAACTCACAATTATTTATTGCACATACAAGGTCTACTTTCATTGGTAATTCTCATTATAGGTACTTGTAGAGTAACAACATGGTTCAACCTTTCAAGTCCATGACTCATTACAAAATAGCTAAATGGGCTTCAATTATAATAACTGGTTCCATCCAAGGGAATATTACTTTTCAGTTTTTTTTCTAAGGTACTTAAAAATGACGTGGAAGAATTTCTTTAGATTTTTTGTGAGCACAGCACTTTTCTACTTCATATGAAACAAGCATTTTATTTTGAAGCTTTTATGTTAGTCTTAAAAAATGACCTGGTTGCTTTAAGGAGTTGACTTATTAAAGTTAATGCAGCTTATATAGCAACTGTCAGAGGGCTTTCCCCCCTAGACTGCAGCAGAAATGTGGAAAAAATGGAGTATTTTAATGAATAACAGAGAAGTGCTGATCAATTGTTCTAAGTGGTTCCCATCTGCTTGTAATCAAATGTAGTCTTTAATGATTCATTAGAAAGAAGCAGCAATTTAGTTTCTAAACTGGTGAGTCTGATCATCTCTGTTCATATGGAACTATGACCTCTGTTTTAATTTTGTATTGATTGACCCCTTTGGAGGAAATGTGTAATTATTACCCTCTACTATAATTTCTGTTTGTTTAATTGGCTGGTTTTATTTGCCTTCATAGCATGCAAAATTGGGACAATCGACTTGGTGATTCTGCTTTGTTTTTTCTGTTAGTCATGGCAAGAACATAAAATAGAAACATGGCGTAATAGTGAGTGTACAGTTCTTTTCAAGGTTCTCCATGGACAGAGTGGCTTAGTAAGTGGCTTTAATCACACTGTTGTCTTTAGACATAATGTGGTCTCTACTCCCGTGGTTTTATGAGATAGTAAAATGCTACTTGCTTTGTATCAGGTTATTATTCATTGAGCATTTTGTATTTTCTTCACATATTATAATCTATTTGTCAATTCCTCAAATAACCATACGGTAAAAAACCAAAAACACAACCACTTCATTTGAAAACAAAGGAGCAGCAATCATTAAACCAGGATTACAAACATCAGAATTTCTCTCAGAGGCAAAATACTGTATGTATGAAAGTGAAAGGGGGTGAAAACATGGTAATTTTGGACATCCTGTTTAATTAAAGACCAAATAAACCTGGGGTGTCGAACTTGCAGGGCGTGGGCAGGATGTGTCTGGTTTAGCAAAGGGGAAAATAGTTGTGATACATCACATGATGACGCCATGATGACACGAGTTTGACACCCATGAAATAAAGTAACATAAGGACAAATCTCTAGAAACAAAAGACATTTCATTCCAATAAGATTATGATTTGGAAAAGCATATTTTTCCTCCCAGTGAGGATATTTGATGATGAAGTGGTTTGATTTGCCCCAAGTTGCTGAGCTAAAAAATGCCAAATATTCTCATTTCTGAATTTCAGCTCTTGTTATCATAAGGCAGAGAAACACTTGCCATCATTTTATGGCTAATTACTCCATAAATTACTTATGCAATTTCTATCTTTCTGGCTTTTGGAGGCTACACATGGCTGCCATGCATTTGGTTATGCAGAAATATTTCTTCAAGTCTTGTTTGCATGATCAGTTCTGGCAGATGGATGACTGCACGGAGAAATGGGCCCTGTAGCATCTCCAGCTGGAGTGAGGATATAATGGCAGACACTAAAGGGCTTGGATTACTAGCAAAAATGTCTCTGTTCCATTTGTCAGAAGCGAACAGGGACCAACTGAAGGGAAAAAATCACTAGAATTAATGAGTTATTAAATTATGGAAGAAGAACCAAACCAGATGGAACAGGATTGGTCCATGGAGAACCATTTCTTTAAAATAAATGATGGGCCCAGAAAGGGAAAAGAAGCTAAATTGGGTCAATTGTATAAAAGAGGAAGTTTAAGCACTTATGGTTCAGATAGAATAATTCCCTGTGCATTTATTTGCAATAGAAAGAATATCCCCATTGGTTATAGGAATATTTTGAATGTAGCTTCCTTTTACTGTGATCAGAAAAGCTCTGTGTGAGGGAAGGGGAATTCACATTTGGAGAATAGTGGAGCCAAAAGACTTCCAGCATTGTGAAAAGGTGCTGGTCAGGGAAACAGTTGCAATCAAAGACTAAGCTGGGATACTCAGCATGGAAATTGTTGTTCTACTAACAGTACTGTTGTTTCCAGTGCTACTGGATAATTCTTGTAGCCCCCCAAAGTCTGCTCTGGAAGAATGGAAGAGGATGAAAAAAATCGCTTTGCTTGGGTCAGTTTCTCTTTGCGTGCTACTGAGTCAAAAAGAGAATGAAAACTAGAAAAACAAAAACTAATAAGCCCAAAAGATAGCAAAAAAACCAAAGCACCTCCGCATCAGCAATCGGCACCCACACGAGCATAGATTAACTCCAAAATTAACATCAGAACAACAACAATACCCCAATCAAGGAACTACCAAACATGCCAGCAGTAAACAGCCCTACCAAAGAACCTATAAGATGAACCCTATCAATACTGATAGGGCAAGCCTCTAGAACAGGGGTGTCAAACTCACTTCATCACAGCAGCATCTCATGATGTATCGGGACCTTTTTCCCCTTCGCCAAAATAGCCATGGGTGTGGCCAGCATGTGATGCGGGCCAGGAGTTTGACAGTCCTGTACTAGAATATAAACCGAGCAAACCCCATTCTGTGTTAGCACTGATGATGCTACCTAAATTGGCTAATTAAACATCTGCAAGAAAACAAACAAGCCCAGTAAACTCCAAATCCTTTTTGTTATTGAATTTAATATAAATTGTGTCATTATAGACAACATTTAACACATTAGATTAGGCTAAAAGAGAGAGGGTTATTTGTAGTAATTAGTACTGTATGTCAACATTGTAATTTTGCTTTGTGAACTTGAGGGTTTTTTTTTTCTGAAAACCCAGCCATTAAGGAAGAAATCCACCTGTCCTTTTTAGAAGGCGTTTTAGTAGTAGTGTTACTACTATTGATGGAAATAGTAGCTTTCTTGTGTTGTAATTAAAGTGGCTGCAGGTTCATAATTTAGAAAGAAGAATGAATAAATGAAGCAAGGTGATAATAGTATATACTGTACATGAATAAATCGAGTTGAAGAATAAGCAGGCTAACCTAATGTGACACAAAAGAGCACCACCAGCAATTATCTTAGTGTATATTAGCAAATTATATTATGCCTTTCTAATCAAATATTCAGATCTGGGGAGTTTCTGTGGATCTGTGGTTGATGCTTGATGGTGTCTGAACGTTAACCTAGGAAGGGAGTTTTTATTAAGGGAGTTTTTATTAATTGATGACACCACTATAACAAATGTAGTGTCTCTATACAACCTATACTTGTTAGAATTATATAATCAACTTCAGTTCTGTATCTCTATGGGCTTATTTTAAATAGGCATCATTTCAAGTTTATCTTAAGACAATGGACATCTTTCCAAAACTGGGCTGCCAAAAGGAGAGGTCCAACCAATATATCAGTGTTTAATTAACTTTAATTAACTTTTAGTTATTGTGTAATAAGTAAGTGCAGCCTTCTTCCCAACCTTCCCAAATCCTGGCTAGGAATTTTGAAAACTAGTTTTAAAGTTTTTGTAGGGTACTCAGTTTGGAATTGGTTAAGTATTGTATATTCCATTGCATTGTAATGTAAAGCAGCTCTATTCGTGGCTTCATACCAGGGGTGATATTCAAAATTTTTAACAACCAGTTCTATGGGCGTGGCTTAGGAGGTAGGCATGGCTTGGTGGTCATGTGACTGGGTAGACATGGCTTGGTGGTCATGTTATTGGCTGGGCATGGCCAACTCAATATCATTCACATCGAGGCATGCATCTCCTCGCCTGGCCTCTCATGACTGTGGGGATGCTGCAACAGTCGTAAGTGTGAAAAATGGTCATAAATCACTTTTTTCGGTGCCATTGTAACTTTGAATGGTCACTCCACACAAGCAAAGTACCAGCAAAGGAGGGGGAAAAATCCAGAGAAGTTCCAGAGACAGGAAGTCTAGTCCTGCCAAGAATATAATAAGGGTTAACGGAGAGGTAGTTTCTGTAAGCAACACCAGAATGTTTCCTTCCTCCCTTCCTTACAGGATTAGGCCTGTAATTTCTTGTAACAACCAGTTCTCCGAACTGCTTAGAATGTTAAACAACCGGTTCTAGAGAATAGGTGCGAACTGGTAGAATCCCACCCCAGCTTCATACCTTCCTTATTTCTCATTCATATGTACATTTGTGCATATTATCCCCTACTTTTTAAAAAAACAAGCTGATATCTTCTGTGCTGTATGTTCTTACCATTATGCACTGATTTACATAACCTTTCTTTACACTTTTGCTTTTTTCTCAATAATGTGAAAGTGTATGCCAATATTTTGATAAGGGGAGTTTATACTTTCCTTAATTTGTCTCCACTTGGGTGAAGCAGACCTTTCAGGAAGCTGATAAGAATGGTGATGGTTTGCTGAATATTGAAGAGATTCATCAGTTGATGCATAAACTGAATGTCAACCTGCCCAGAAGAAAAGTAAGACAAATGTTCCAGGTGGGTTTTCTTTTTTTTTCTATCTATAAATATAAATATTAGTCTCTCAAAAGACAAATCTAAAATTAAAAGTACGATAGCTGATGATCCCAGCCGAAACTAATTTCTGACACTAAGCTATATTGTTATAAAGCAACATGTCACATGATCGCATCACTTAGCAACCACAACTCAATCTGCTAAGTGGAAGCATCTCCAGGTAAGAAACACGAGGATGCTGCAGAAGGGATAGAGAATGTGATGGAATGTGCACCTGGAGAAGAGGCAGTACGTTTCATCAGAGAAAAACCCAAATTAAGAGACTATACAGTCCCAAAGTAGATGAGAGAAGTGACAAGAGAGTGGAGATTTAGAGTAGCTGCATCTAGGGATATATATACATGTATATAAATCAAGGACTAGGAATGATGGCAGCTGGCTGAAATTGCTGAAGGCCCAGGTCTTCTATTTTGGCTCCAGTATTCTCTGCTGGGTGTTCTATACAAGGTGGCCAAAAGGGGCATTGATTAGGGAGGGAATAGTTGGGTGTAGCAGCTCTGTGCTCGGAGGAGCCAAGTATCCAAATCTTGATCACGGGGGACCATGACCATAAGTAACCTTATTGGCCATAACGATGGGCCCAGATGGTAAGCCCATTCTTTCAGCATCATCATGGTTGCTGAATGAATAATTGTAAGCTGAGGACTACCTATATGAGGATAAATGGAGAGTTGGTGCAATGTATTTGTTTGTTCATGGAGGAAAGACTAAGGAGAAAGACTCATCAAGGCATGTCAATATTGACATCTGGCTCTTATTATTGGATTGGTGACACATCTCACACTAGTCCATCTTCAAGGATTTATAATACTGAGATAACTGCAGAAGGTACACTTATTTACCGAGCATATTAAGAGGCTGGTGATTAAGCATGGTACCAATTTTACTAGCTTGTGTTAAGTGACAAATTTTTTGCTCTAACAGCTTTATTGGGTCACCTCAAGTTTTGGGATTATGAGAGGGAAAGAGAAAAACTTCTCGCATTTCACCTTTACATTATTTTATACTTTTTTTTCAAGTTTCCTATATTTTCCCCCTTAATTAAATTTCAGAGTGTCATACTGTTTCATTATAGGGATATTCGTCCGGGTGCTTAAATATTGTACTATAGTTTCTTTTTTTAATGTACTGTATTTTCCAGATTTTACAACATCCATTTTGATGCTAATCATAATGTTAGAAAAATTCCAAGTTTTGTTGCAGGACAGATTTGTGGAAAGGCATTAGGAGATTGAAAGTATAATTTAATTAATGCTTCTTCTGATGATTTCCAACATGGAGTTTAGCTTTTTCAGAACAGCTGTACTCAGAAGAAACTTTGATTATCCATTATATTCCTAATTGGTTAGTCATTTCTAGTTTTAAATGATCAGTTTAAATGAAATCAGAATTCACATTCATGGCTGGATGCCTGTCTCCTGAAAGAGATGCTGTGATTTTTTTTTTTTTTGCTGTTTCTTGGCAACTGGGTCCTACAGAGTTCAAAATCATTCAAAGTATTGACATTTATATGTGACCAGGAGAGTAGCTTCTCTGGCAATAAAGGGTGAAGGTGTCATAATATGTCAATGACATGAAACTTTATTTTCTTTTAAAACCATTCTTGTGAAACTCTACATGTCCCACAAGAACAGGAGAATGGATTGAATCAAAACAAATATGTGGAAGTTGAGTCCAAATAATAACAGAATTGGGAGGGACCTTAGAATGCTTCTAGTCCCATGATGGCGAACCTATGGCATATGTGCCAGAAGTGGCATGCAGAGCCACTACTGCCGGCACGTGAGCCCTCGCACAGAGCTGGTCTACTGCACATGCATGTGTGCCACCTGCCCACCAGTGATTGTTGAGTATCTGGAGCACATGTGCAGGGGTGTATGGGAGATGCGTGTGCATGCGCAGAGATGCGTGGCATGCACGGGGGTCACGCACACATGCGCAGGGGGCGTGGGGGGTCCTGCGTGCATTGCCTTCTGGGTGCTGGCATGCGAGCACCCAAGTGCAAGCGCACATGCAATTTTTGGCACAGGAGCCCAAAAAAGTTAGCCACCAGTGTTCTAGACCAGCCCCTTGCTCAAGCAGGAAACATACTGTTTCAGACAGATGTTATAATACAGAATATGAATCAAGAATCTAGAATGGGTTCTTGCTAATATGTTTAGTTTCTGCATTTTTGCCCCACTGAAAATGGTTTAATCTGTTACATGATATGTAAGATATCCTGGTAGGCATTACTAAAAGATTCCATCATTGTCACTGGATGTGTAAATAACTTCAGAATAGAAGAGTGACTTTTATTGGTTCAAAAAGATTTATTTATTTTTTTATTTATTTTGATTTGTCAATCGCTTACAAGATAATAGGTATAAGTATATACATAGTTATGAATACATGAAATGGGTACATATAAGAAAAATAAAAAGAAACAATAGGACAGGGATGGTAGGAATGTTGGTGTGCTTATGCACGCCCCCTACAGACCTCTTAGGAAAGGGGTGAGGTCAATAGTAGACAGTCTAAGGTTAAAGTTTTTGGGGTTTGAGGAAGAAACCACAGAGTCAGGTAGAGTATTCCAGACATTGACCACTCTTGCTGAGGTCGTATTTCCTGCAATCAAGTTTGGTGTGGTTAACCTTGAGTTTGAGATGTACAAGCTTCAGCCCTGTTTGGTCAGGAATTGTGAGGAATCTCCTAGCCTTGTCCTAGTAGTGCCCTAACTGTACAGATGTAATAGATTTTGTATAAAACTACCTTTGAAGAGAGAGAGTTCAAAGGCTTTAGCCAATCTGAAAGAGAACTGCTGGCTCTGATTATATTTGCTGATATGATCATATGATTCACATACTTTGGTATTTGCAGTGGCTGCCAACCCATTTCTACAATCATTTTAAAGTGTTGATGATTTTCATCTTCAAAGCTTGAGACAAGCATATAGAAATAGCTAAAGGTACACTTGACTTTTGAGTGTTGTGCCAAGGGTAGTAAATAGAAACACATTAATTAAGTTTTAATTAAATTCAACATTATGCATATTCACATTAAATTTGGCAGTGTTTGGATGGCCTAGTCAACTGCAGGCACATGCAGCTGTGGGACTGGAAGTTGGGAATCTCAAATCTAAAGAGTCGCCTCTTCCTCCCTCTTTAACTCTCTAGAATGGATTAAATATTGGTTGACTGAGCAGATGAATGAAATTAAAACTGGAACGACTGCTTAAAATGTATTTGTTTGTTAGTTTATTAAATATATTTGTTTGGCGCTTCAATCACAATGATTCTTAGTGTCTAATATAGAAAAAATACAATATAAAACAGGGATGTCAAACTCTGAGGGCCACATCAGGGATATGTTTGACCTCGGGGGGGGGGCTGGGGTGTGGCCAGCTGAACATCACTTGTGTTGGGGCACCTGTGGTGGCCCGAGTGCTCTGTCTGTGAAAACAGACCTCAGCAGGGCTGTGCGCATCCCTCTCGAGCTCCATTTTTGCTGGGAGAAGGTTGCAGGAGGCTGTTGCAGCCAAAAACAGAGCTCTCCCAAGCTCCATTTTCATTGGCAGAGGCACAGTGGAGGCACACAGTAATTCACTGTTTCCAGGATGGCCCTGCGGGCTGGATCTGGCCTGTGGGCCTTGAGTTTGACACCCCTGATTATAAAATATGTCCATTTAGTGAGCCTTCTAGATTGTGGCCATCAATATTATTTTCTACCAGTTTAGAATTTAATGATTTTTAGGACCTGTTTCCCTTCCTTTCCCTTCCTGCTGAGATTTGTTGTGTACTTTTGAAAATACACACTTATGTCTCTTTTGGTCCTGATTACATAGTGGGTATGAATTCCTGCAAAAAAAAAAAGTGGAGCTATTTAAGTTTTGTAAATTAAAAGTACACATTATCCTTGCTTAATGACAAAAATTAAGTCTTGCTAAATGATGTAATGGTTAAGCAAGAGACCATGTCACCACAACAGATTTACAACCTTATTTCTGAGATGATGACAAAGCAAATCACTCATGGTCATTAAGTGAGACATCACGTGACCATGATTTTACTGCCAGCTTTGATTCTACTTTTGGAAACTGGCTGAGGGATATACAAATGGTTCCTATGGGACACTGCACAGTTCTAAATGACCACCAAATTGCAAAGTGTCCAATCAAGGGTCACATTTTCAAAATAACTGTAGACTAACAGAGTTGACACATATGTGATGGATTTCTTGAAACATTTTCTTACACATTCTTATTCCAATTAGTGCCTTCTGTCCCCACCCCCCAACTATTGTTGTGTGGTTGGCTCTATCATGCAACGGATCCAATAGTAGCCCATATGCATCCCATATAGTCTGACTCACAATAGCTTCTGTAACACAAATGATGTTCATCCACTTTAAACTTACTGACTTTATCTGAATCCATACTGAGTCAGCAAATGTAGCAGAGCTAGAGCTACATGCAATCTAGATTATGTATAATCTGATTACAAAGAGCTCTAATTTAATGTGAAACCATTTTACTAGGCAGAATTAAAAATACTATTACTGAAAGGATGCTACACAGATTCTCTTGTATACCTCTTTTAAAGCTTACAACTAGTTGATTAATATTTAGCAGTGTAAGTAGGCTTTTTTTAGTCCATTACTGTGTGGATTTAGCAACACAGAGACAATTATTTTAAAAGAACCATTGTGAATATTGTGTATATCTGAAGCAAATCCTCTTAAGCATATACTATATTTACAAAATCAGATTCATGATAAGTAACTCTTCTCTGAGGACAAATCCTCATCACAGTAAAAAGGGAATTAGTTGAACTTGTTCCTGACATGCAGTCTCAATATTGTTGAGAATCATAAATGTCTAGCTCCAAGATCAGAGATACTATTCTCATTAGAAATAAATAAATATCAGTCTGTCCTTAACACTATTAAATCATTCAGCTCAATTGGTTTACACAGACATTTTGTAAACACAAATGTAAATAATATTATACTATATTATATTTCATTCTAATCAGTTTGTGTGGATCAGGTTGTGTTTACACTACAATAAAATAGCCATAGTGAAATCTTCACCAATAGAAAAACTTTGGCAAGCATAGTATGTCATTTCCAGCTACTTCTTGCACTCCTTTTTTAAATATTAGATTTACATTTACATTTAGCAAGAATATCCATTGAACTCAGTAGAAATTTCTTTGAAATAAACATATTTTACCATAATGTAAAGTTGCAAACCTTCAATATATACACATGGAAATAAATTTTATTGAATGAGGATCTGCTTTGGAGTGAGGATCTACTTTTAATTGAGTGTGCTTAGTATTGCAGTACAAATGGAATTATACAATTTACTCTTGAGATTCTGGAAATGAGAGAGAAATGAGAGAGAGAGTAAGAGATCAGAACTGAAACCTAGAAACTGCAATTGCAACGAGTAGTTTTATATAGTGGCAGCTATACCAAACTAGCAATGACAAATGCATGATGAAGCCTTCATGCAAATGTCACAATTATGTACTTGCTGATACCCATAGTTATATACACCAAGAATCATTTTAACATCTAGTTTTAATGATAATAAACATTGGGTTGTATAATAGCACACTCATGAATAAAGGCAAATATACACAAATTATCCCAGAATAATGCTGCAAGATCGAAGCTAGAAAGAAATTCCCCGAGGATGGGCTGCAGCACAAGTCCAAAAGCTCAAAAGACGAAACCTCTGGTCCAGGTGAATGACCCAGATTAGACCTGATAACACACTCATTCATTGTGCCATTTAAAATGCATAAGGAATTGACAGCGAATATAAAGTTTCTTAAGATCAAATGATACATTCTTTGAGAATGACCTGTTTATTTACATTAATTCTGTAATTGCTGCAAGCAAAGCAAATAAGTGAATGGCTGTGAATTTGGAGAAAATTAATTTAAGTCTTCTGGCTACTGCTTAGGTCTGGTGAGAAATGCTGCTTTCTTGCAAACATTTAATGCAATTTGGCTGAAACATTAAAACATTCTTCCCTATTGAATTGTTTGTTGACACATGGAGTGGTTGTTTCCCAGGGCAGAATATTTTCTATGAATGGCAAAGATTGTGAAGAGTGATGCCTAGAGGCAGCGGGTTGAACTGGATATCTTATTATAAACCAATGTTATTGTTTATAACTTGATGATAATTACAAGTAGGTGAATAGTTAAAGAATAACTGGTTTAATAATAACTAGGGTATAACCCGTAAAACACAGAGCCTGACAAATATGAAGTGATGAAAGTGTTGATATGATAGATACAAGAATGAAGTCTTTTGACTACTGTATGCTTTGAAAAGAAGCACAAATTGCAGTTAAAATCAACTCAGTCTAGTGCCTGAAACAGTGATTGAAATGCACTTTTCCAAATTCCTAGGTGGAATGGGTCAAAAATGCTATTCTGGGGATTGGGGAAATAGTAGTAAATCTAAATTGAGCTATTTGGGATTTCACAGATGTATTTTCTTTCTATGAATATTGTATCTACCTATAATTGGTTATGCTTTTTCCCTAGGAGGCTGACACAGATGAGAACCAGGGAACTTTAAACTTTGAAGAGTTTTCTGTGTTTTATAAGATGATGTCATTACGGCGTGACCTATACTTGCTGCTTTTGAGCTATAGTGATAAGAAAGACCACCTCACTGTTGAAGATTTTACTCAGTTTTTGAAGATAGAACAGAAGGTAAGATGCAAAACAAAAATAATTAATACTCGAAATCATAACAAAATGTCCCCATTTTGTTTTTGCATTCTGTTGCTTTTATCTTGAAAACATTTATCAAAAACAATTACCTAATACTTGGATCCTTGAAAATATTGACACCTATACTTGAGAAAAGTGAAACCAGAAAATGTTTTATGAATCAGAGCTGCATAGGTTTCATTTCTTTTATTTTGAGTACTATTTTATTTTCTATATTTTATGTAGACATTTTTTTAACTTGTGTCACAACTCATATCAGTACACGTTTCCAGAATGCAAAGATTTTGTTTGAAGCTGGAAGTCTAAAGAATTCAATTATTTCTTATTCAAGAGACCTTTTAGCCACTGGAACTCATCTACTCCCATTAAATGTATATGTTGACAAATCCCTTCTGTTTATCTGTCTCTAAATAGAAAAATAAGATTTGATTGCCTCACACAACAAGGTGTTCCCAGAATGAGAGAATGTATTGGTTACTAATGTTTTATAGCAAAAGAAGAACAGGGAATTTTTGCTCTTACTTAGCTATGTAATACCTCTTCAAACTGTCTAGAAATCATGAAAATCAGAATAAGATTTACAAAGCAGCTGTTGCTTTAGAAAACCTGATGCCATATATTCATTGCACTATATTCATCTGCCCAAAAGCTTCACTTGAAGACCTTGCTTGTCTTCTCTATCTTCTTCAGACTGTATGAATACTGTGCCAGAAAAAAACACTTAGTCAGTGCTTTTTGGCTGTAGGGGAATCTCTTTTTATTTTATTGGAGTATTTAAAAAAAATTTATTGCTGTTTTGTTGTGTATTTATGACTTATACTGGGTTTGCTAGATTGATCAGCTTTGGCTGCAACATCAATGATATCTATTATTGTGTAAGTAATGTTGTCACCTCCTTTGCTTCTGGTACATATATAAGAGACCTTATATATGTACCAGGTAAATAATGATCAGATAGTTTTCCCATTATGTTAGCAGCTGAAATCACCATAGCATGTGAGAAAATAATTTGTACTAGATTCACAATATGGGTTTAAAGGAAACCACATGCTTTTATTCTCGTTTATTGTTAGTGTCATGTTCATGGTGTGGAAGGACAACAGCTAAAATGTCAGTTTTGAAGCGTTCAGAAAGAAAGATTATAGGCTTTGGGTATAGCTCAAGGCCAAAGCCAATATAGACACCTGTTATAAATAATTGGTATTTTGTTTCATTGGTGTGTCAGCTTTGGCTGGTCATCTGTTATTCATTTGTCAGCTATAATATGCCCAACTTCTCTATCCCTGTCACTATTCATAGGGCTTATCATGTATATTCATGCAAGACAGTTATATGGTATCCATTACTTCACTCTGGATCAATGACTTTGAAAAACACCTGCTGTCCATTCAAAAGATTGCAAACATGCTCAGCATTATGATTTCCTTTCAGGAGACAAGTTGAGCTTTGAAGTTGAAATGAGTAATCAAAATATATATGAGATACATGGAAGAGCAGTGAACCTAGGCACTTCAGTAACAGAATGTCAATGGTACATATTGACCAGCACAAGTTAGTCCTATAGGGATTACTGTATAAAGCCAGGGTAGATGAAGTTCAGGTTTGGAAGATGTACTTAATCTTTTTTTGCCTGTATTCTAGATTACCTGCTTTTACCAATCACATTTTGGTGGCTTAGAACCACAAACAATTGTTTATATATATTGCAATATCCTTTTTTTTTGTTTTACATGTATTTAAAAGTTTGCTGGTGAACAGCATCACCCACCTATATCAGCACAAAATCAAAGTTAACATAGTCTATACCATGGCCCACTGGCCAGATGCATCATGCACTGGCTACGCCCACTCCGGTTTAGCAAAGGGGGAAAAGGTTGCGATATGTGACGACAATGTGATGCTGTGAGTTTGATACCCCTGGTCTATACTGTGACTGTGTCACAAGATAAACTTAGTGTGCTCATATCACTTTATCAGATGTACTGGATGAACACTGAAAGTAAATTCCACTGTTGATATTAGACTGAGCCTGAAAATAAATGCTTTGCTTTATGCAGAAGAATCAACTCTGAAAAACATTGTATTCTGGAGTCTTTCATTACTTCTAGAATTTCAGACAAGGAAGGATAAATGTATCTCCTCATTCATGAACTGATAGAGAGGAAGGAAGACAAAGTTGTTACATCTGGTGCCTTGAGAGATCATCATTCCTTAAACAAGCATCTGTGATTGGCTTGGCAAATGAATGAACATGAACTAGGAAACTCCTTTCAAAGCTCAAAGAAACATGTTTTGATATATTAGAATTTCTAGCCCAACAACAACATTCATCAGACTGATTTAATAAAGAATGGAGTTATTAAATCTGTTGAGTTCTGTAAGAACATTACAGTTCAACAGAAGCTCTTCATTCAAGGTGAAATAATCTGTTGTCATTGATGAAGATTACATATTTCTATCATTTTCAGCAGTGGTAGTATGCTACCAATTTGGACCGGTTCAATCGAAACAGTAGTAAAGGAAGAGCCTCTGATGATCAGCTGAAAGGAGTTAAAAAAGCCTCCACAGCTTGAGAAGAGAAAGAAGAAAAAAGTGCAAGATTACCCCTCCCATCCGCCCCTGCACTTTTCTTTTCTTTCTCCTCTCAGCTGATTGGCGCTGCAGGCCTCAGCTGGTGTGCAGAAAGCTGCACACATACGTTAGGCGCATGCATGTTAGGTGCACGCACAATCACCAAACTGGTAGTGGAACAGGTAATTATCCCTCTCCTGATTTTCAGTGAGGGAAAAAGATGTCTCCACTTTATTCAAAAGTTATTTTTAAAAACTTAATAAATTGAAACTGAGTTTTTTTTACTCTATCCATTTTATTGAATTTATGAATAATGGAAATTATACTTGAGTGAACGATTATAGAATTCATTAACACAAAGTTTCAAATCAGGAATCAGAGGAATACCATCATTTTCTTTTCTCATATTGCTAAATTTACTCCCAGTTTGTTAAGCAGAATGTGGTTGAATGTGAAGATAGCTTTCATCTTCAACATTCTATGGCAGTAATGCTAGTTTAAACGTCAAAACATTTAATGTTAAATGTTGAGCATCAGTTTAACTCTTTGGGTCTTCTGAGAATTACTAGAGAACAACAAATTTGAGACATATTTTAATGTTGATTAAATGTTGATTAATGTAGAAAATCAACAAATGTTGATTTTACAAATGCATAGGGCAATCTATGTTTAGTTATTTATTCAACTCAATTTCAATGTTTCCCAATCCTTCTGCAAAAACCTAAGTAAAACTTGTAATATATATGGGAAAAGAAAGAACTCCATTTAGGTTAAAACTGACCTGTTAGATGAGAAGAACGTTTATTTGGTAATTATTTCTTCTTCAGACAGTCCCTTGTCTCTGGTGGCCTTGCCATTTTAGGTTCTGGTGCTAGAATTTAATCTTAGAAATGTGCCTAATGAAACCTCCTCATCCATAATTATGCTCCAACACTGGAAATTTTAAAGATGAGATTGAACAACCATTTGTCTAAAATGTTTTCTGCCTGAGAAGGAAGGGGGTTGGAACTAAAAAACCTCAAAAATCCCTTCTAACTCTATTATTCTGTTATAGAGGAGGAAATTGAAACCATGAATAGGGAAATGGTGGGAATTAGTCTCTCCTTGCTATTTGCTCCTACGTGATTTTCTTTTTTGTTCACTTTCTGAATGCATTTTATTGCAGTTCTGAATTTTAATTTTGACTTGTTTTATCTTGTATGCTGCCCAAGGAGCCACTGTTATAAGCTGGCTTATAAATTGAATGAATTAATAGATAATACTGATACTGTCTCAAAGGTGCTTTTTCAATAGGCAACTTGTCTGTTTTTTCCTTGAAAAAACAGAAGAAGACATTTCACTACTCATCCAAGAATCTTCATTGGTTCTGGCAGGGAGCGATGGAAGAATTGATCCATTCTGCCAGAACCAATGCAGCTTCTTGGATGAGAAGTGCAATGTTTTCTTTTTCTTTTTCATCCTCAAGGGAAGACAACAGTTGCCTTTTGAAAAAGCACCTTTGAGACAACTGTGACCTGGATGACTGAGAATCTCCACAGACAATAATACTGAGAATTGATATGACTGCTGGACTTAAATAATATCCTTCACAAAGTTTCCTATCATATCATAATATCATAACTTCTCTCTCTACATGTATAGATATAAACATTCCACAAATTCTGAGTATTTTGCCTATGGGGCATGAACAACACTCTTGATAAAGAATTTTATTTTATTTTTGGAGATCTCACACTTTGGTGTTCATCTAAGAGAATTCAGTTTAGCTTTAATACCTATGTAGTGCCAGTGTTATTTCATAGTGATTGCACTCTAAGTGGGAGGAATCATTGATGCTCTCTGAGCTTGGTTGTTTGCTTGCAGACATTTTGCTACCAGACTAGATAATATATTTAGTATTAGAAAAGAATGGAGTTTGCTCTCTGTTTATATACATTAGTTTTCATTCTCATTGTTGATGAGATGTTGTTTTCTTCTTAAAAGTTCCTTAGTTAGGCTGTTGTTTACTTCATTGTTTATCTGGTGTTAATCCCTTGCTTATCTGATTGTTGATTGCTGATAAGGAGGTGCTCTGGTCTTTTGTTTTCTTATTAGTTTTTTATTGTCTCTTGAAAGGTATGCAGATGTTGTTTATCTCTGTGTGTCTGTTGATGACTGGTTTGTCTGAGTGCCATGCTTCCAGGAATTTCCTATTGTTTCCGGACTGAGATTGATATAGGGTGCTCACAGTTTCCCAGCTGAAACTATGCTTAGTTCTGTCCATGTGTTGTGAAATTAAGCAATTTTCATGTCTTCTGACAGCTAGTTTCTAGGTGGTGTTCATGGAAGTGCTGTACTGGTCTTCTGTCTATCTGTCTGTCCTATATAGTGGTTGTTACAGTTTTTAGATATTTCTATTTTTTCTTCTTGGGCTACTGGGTCTTTTGACTTATTTAAGATATTTTGGAGACCTTTATGTGGTTTATGAGACCAGGATTCTCTCTCTAACACTGATAGGGCAAGATACCCACTATAAATAGACAGCAAACCCCACTCTCTTCTACCACTGAAGATGTAACCCAGCCTAATAACAAAACGTTCACAAGTAAACAACCAAACTCAGAGAACATCAAGGACTCCACAGTTCACATTGAGCTGCAGTTATTTCTTCTCCTGGTATATTATGAGTGTGTAATTTGCAGTGCACTTAAAGTGTAAATGATATTATCTCATTAACTGAGTTGAATAGTGATAAGAACAATATTACTAAACTGGGACAATTGTATCTAGAAAAATGACTCTAATGTTGCTTATGGTCTAGGCAACATGAATAACATTTGGGTTTCCCCAATTTCCAGAGGAGAATGGGTACCCATGCAAAACTGTTTATGTCTATGCTGGGTGGCACAGCTATATATAGTTCTTCCCTTTGCTACTATACTGTATATACATGTGGAAACATCTGTTGCAGAACTACAGATCTATACTCTTTTTTTTGGCTTATAGGCTTTTTTGTACCATAAATCCAGTGGAAAAAAATATACATTTTGGACTAGAGAGATGCATAATATAGTTATGTTCACTATTTATTTGCATTATTTAAAGCATAGCTGTGATGCTTATAAAAGGATTTGAAAAAAATCCTGACAATTGTAGTTACAGTTGACTGCACACCAAATATGACCATGGGATTTTACACTTTGACATATAGGTCACTTTTTCTCAGAAAATAAACAAAAAATGTATCAATTTTCTCTTTGGTGCAGATGAATAATGTGACAACAGAGTATTGTTTAGACATCATAAGAAAATTCGAGGTTTCAGAAGAAAACAAGAACCAGAATGTTCTGGGAATAGAAGGTAATCTATTTTAGCATTTCAGTTCCTTTGGATGATATTTTTTTCATTGTTGTTATGGAGCAAAGCTTTTAGCAGTACTTTCTTCATTGAAGCTCAATACAGCCTTCTGAAATACTGACATTCTCTGGATTCGTTGGATTTCAGTTCCCATCATTTTGATCACCTTTGTCCATGCTAGCTGGTAATTGCAGAGATTGTACTTCCAAAACATATGAAGTGTGTTGCCTTGAGAAAGTTTAGATTAATATGTCAGTATGTAAATGAGAGGTCAGTCTATTAGAATTTTAATTAATGATGGAAAATATAAATGAGACTATGAAAAGATAAAATATATAAAACGTAAATGAGACTATGCAGATTGTGGTGCTGTTATGAGACAGAGTTTGTTTCTCCATTGAAATTTATTTCTAGTCTTATTCTTTAGAATGGTACTTTAGATTTAATTAGAAACAAGGAGAGAAAACAATGTAAGTGACTGCTAGTTAAAGTAGTATTTAAGCAGAACAAAAAGGGTTATAATTAATTTTCTCTATTTCTAGGCGTAACATAAAAAAATGAATGCCAGTGTCTGCCAGATGGAGAAAATAGGCTTTAATTTACATAGTATCAGTTCAAATTGAGGTTGTCTTGAACTCAATATCTATAGCTTTGCAAAAGTCACTTTCTGTCAACCTCCACTTCCTAGCTGTTAAACTGGAATTATCGTATCCAAATGCTATAAAGGTTATTTTACACTGAAAGCTGCAAAGCACTCTACAAATAACAAATGCTATAGTTTATAATTTTGCCTTCTTTAAATAAATGGCAAATAATATGGTAGCAGCGATAGTTGTTCTAACATTATTTAGTGAATATGCTTGATGAATCTAGAAATAGAGAAGTGGCTACAATAAGTTGAAGAAACGGCTTTGACAGCAATTCATATTAGGATGTCTGTTTAGAGTAAAACATATTATTACCCGTGTCTTGAAAATATCCTATCTCAAGTTCACTTCGCCCAGGATTTAAATTGATAGACTGGCATATGGATTTAGCAGTGATCAGAAATATTTTCCCCCATGTTTGGAGTTGCAGCATACCTTCCAGTTTGAAAAAAATAGCCAATGACATCACTGTTGTCTGGGAAACATCCGTAGAAACTCCTTTCAAAGAGCTTGAGAAATTGATGGGACCTCCCCCCACCATGCAGTAGCACTCAAGTCTCGAACACAGACTTGCTAACCTCCAACTCAATGATCCTAACCATGTGAGCCTGAACCTGAGGGAGGAAAAAAAATACAAACTAAGATTTGGTGGTAGTCTTGAATATGAGCTTATTGAGAGTGAATTTGGTTGAGAAAAATCAGGTGAGCCTTTAGAGAAGCAGATTCATAACAATTCTCAGGAAACATTTTCTTGAACAGAGAAGGATGGTCCAAGATAATTATTTCCTGCAGAATCAGAAGAGCTTCTTTTTAGTATTATATGAAGAAATCACAGTAGCAGGCCCTATCACTGAGCAACATATTTTGGGGTTTACACAAATTATTAGTTATGCTATAATCCAAAAAAAAAAAAAAATAACCCAAGTTAGAATACTGTGTACTTTGTGTTGGGTTTAAAGGAATGCCAATAACATCAAAATGTCTCTGGCTGACCAGCAGTGCCTGTAGCAAATAAAAAAAAAATGATGATATGACACAGTCCTGTCCTTTCCAACTTGCATCATTGCAACTGACATAAGAAAGTAGGTCACAGGTTTACATCATGATACACATTCCATCCCATTTCTCCTGCTCCATACAGCTGACCCTGAAGGGCATTCCTTTTGATCATATTTATAATTATTTAATTTTCTGTTCATCCAATTTTGTGAAGGCCAGAAACAAACAAAATTTGCATGGGTGCGCCTATCATCTGACTGGAAAATTACTTGGCTAATAAGGTGCTGCCTACCCATTTTAACTTCCTAATTCAATCACTTGGATTATTATTGGTGAAAGAGTGTGCTTTGGTTGACTGCTTGGTTAGTATGTAGACTAAGTCATTTTAAAGATCTCATTAGTATTTCATCTTGTTCTTTGGATAAAGATCAGAAGTTTAACATCGTTAAGCTCAATATTGTTTTAAGCAGCATTAGGCTACAGTGAAACAAGTTTTTAAAAGACGAAAATTAATTTTGAGGACAGTTGAGTAAGTTACCATCATAAGGATGATGACCTGTTTTTGTGGAATGAATGAATCAATGAGTGAATGAATAAAATATATGGATGGAACTAGACAGTGTGGGCCATCTTTCCTGAAACTGCACATCAAAATTGACAAAACAAAGCTCTCCAGGGTCTTTGTGAGACTGTCTTTTTTCTTTTCATCACAAACATCCTTTCTGGTAGGCTGGAGAAAACAATCTGAAAAGATGGTTAATATATAAGCTTAATGTCAGGCTCCTGCATATTGTACTGGAATAATTTCTATATACTCGGTTTGAACTGGGAAAACTTTTTTTTAAACCTGCCCAGTCTTTTGTACTTGTTGTCATTTTAAATCAGTTTTGTATGCCATCTGGGTGACATTCCTGTGTTCATGATGAACTAGTGTACATTTCAATGTTAAGGGAAATCTGTGGAAACAAATATATGTCTATTGGTTTGAAATGTTTAATTACAAATTATTTCTTTCAAGAGATTCACTAATCCTTTAAGTTGAAGGGGAAATTCCATCATGTGGCTCCTTGTGCAAGGAGGGCTGTCCTTCAGTGGTAATAATAGGACATGAATGGGAGCAGAAGAGAAGTGAGCAATATTCAGATCTGAAGTGGTCTCCCTTTCTGTATTTGCCAGTTATGCTGAAAGGAAATATGGATTTTCTGGAGGATGTATGGAGACCTTGTGTGTTCTGGAAAACCATGTTGGTGGTGGAACAGCTGTGTTGCACAATTCTGTCACCACATTGATAGCTGCTTAATTCAATTGTATTATATTTTTGATCTTGAATGACTAGTAAGGACTCAATAAAAGGAACATCTCCATCAACAGCTATAGAGAGCATGCCCACTCTGGACCCAAAACATTTCCCTCTGCTTCGTATGTATTGCCTGCTTTTAGAATAGAACAATCAATGTATACATCAGGTCAATAGTCATAAGGTATGACACTGCGACAATTCCGCTGTGTTTTCTAAATGCTGCCAAATAAATTCCAATTCTAAAATAGCTATTGCTTTTGCCTTGTAAGATTCAGATCTAAACAGACCATAGACAAGATGAGGAAAGCATTTCAGCATTGAATATGTTTGGGGTGAATTTGGGTGTGTATCTAAATCTCAGTTTTGGCTTACTGATGGAATGGAAGTGATTAGTGATTTATGATTATGCATCAAAATGTATGAAGTATTAAAGCAGGTGATGTGTTATCTCAACAGTAACCATTTGGGGAATGCTAGAATGACATTTGAAAGAAAGTATCTGAGTGTTGATTCTTGAATAGATTCTATTTTATGTTGTTACTCCTTCATGAATGGCCTAAAATTGTGTGCCTAATATACAACTTTTCCATATTTTGCTATTTTCTCTAATTTTACAGGCTTTACCAATTTTATGTGCAGTCCGGCTTGTGATGTGTTCAATCCACTGCACAGCGAGGTACATCAGGATATGGAGCAACCTCTTTGCAACTATTTTATTGCTTCTTCCCACAACACATATCTAACTGGAGACCAGCTTCTGTCTCAGTCTAAAATAGAGATGTATGCCCGAGTCTTACAAGATGGCTGCCGATGTCTTGAAGGTGTATTCTTTATTTCACTTGGTGGTCTATTACTGTGGAGTTTCCACTATTGCACTAAATATGTCACATTAGATCCCTCCAAACAGAAATTCCATATATGTGCATACACGTACATTTACTCTGTTCTATGCCTGCTCTCAAAGCATACAAAATATTTAATGGAGAATGTGACCAAATACTCATAATTTATGCTTCTGTATAAATAAATATTTGAAAATACAGCACAAAATTAATACTTTTAATACATACAGCTCTAAGTAAAAGGTTGGTTAGTATTCTAATTTGTACTTCTGATGTACTTTCCTTTCCAGCAAAACTGTTGCTATTATTGTGTGGTAATAATAGCTTGTCAGCTTTAATCATTTGCCAACAAATGATTATAGATTATGAAACATGACACTTGATGTATGTAATAAGAGAATGTCCACTTGCTGAATAGCATTTTCAAATGCCAAATATATGCTTTGGGCATTGATCTCTTCTCAGCCTTTTTACTTGGAAGGGAAAAATATCAGTAAAATATTTATTTAACATATAATGTTCTTATCTTGATAGTTGATTGCTGGGATGGCCCAGATGGAGAACCAGTTGTGCATCATGGTTATACCCTTACTTCCAAAATACCTTTTAAAGATGTAATAGATGTAATAAACAAAAATGCCTTTACTAAGAATGAGTAAGTATAGTATATTCAGTATGTAAACAATACCTTCTGGTTTGTGTATTTTATACAATATTGTAATCAATTAAAAGATAGTTGTGCAAATCTCTTTTCATTACTGTTTGTAAATAATATGTTAAAATATCTGTTTAATTGATAACATATTTTTCCCCAACATTACAGAAAATTTTATTTCTCAATCACATTTCTTTTTATTTTAATAATGGAAGTATTCAATTTAGTGTGTCGTAAGATTTGCAAAGCACCCTGTATATTTTTTGTAGGAAATGTCTTTGTATTTAAAGGGATTTATTTTACAAGGATAAATGTCTTGAAGATGGTAGGGTAGCATTTTTTAAACAGAGATTTTATTAAATTTCAATTGCAGTTCCCAGAAGTCTAGATACAAGGGAAGCTTGTGTAGATTATTTGGGGTAGTAGGGGTTTCCTCCAGTATTTCATAACTAGTCTTTGTCATAGGTTTTTTTTTTTGTTGCTAAGATGGAAGTAAAGAACCACCAAATTCACTTTAGCTCCATGAACACAACCATGCAATCATCATTTCAACACAATCATGCAATCTTCTATACTGTTATCAAGAAAATTGCATGGTTGTGTTTATGCCATCAAAACCATGCAACTTTCTTGATAACAGTATAGAAGTGGCTTGCCATGCTTCTTCCAAAATGTTTTTCAACTTCCTAATCTTGCCTATTGCTATCATATTCCTTGATGTCTCTCTTCCAGATACTAGCCAGCTTAGATTTCAAGTTAAAACATTTATGAATTACCTGCTCAAACAGTTCTACTATCTAAGTTCTGCTATCTTTTTCCCACAGTACCATTGTCAGTGTCAGTTTAATAATATAGATACTTCTTGACCTATCATCACAATTGAGCTCCAATTTTCTGTTTCTAAACAAGATAGTTAAGTGAGTTTTGCCCCACTATATGACCTTTTATGCCACAGTTAAGTGAATCACTGCAGTTGTTCAGTTAGTAACATGGTTGTTAAGTGAATTTGGCTTCCCCCTTTTGCTCGCCAGAAGGTTGCTGTTGGGCTGTTGTAACTTCAGTCACTAAACAAATGGTTCTAAGTCCAGGAGTAATAGAAATGAAGGCAGATTGGGAAGACCATGGAACTATGTACTGCTTCCTCTCTTCCTATATTATCCATGATTATCAAACATGATTTTATGCAAAAATGAAATGACTGAGATCAAACCTCTGTTCAGTGCAGTTATCCAAATTCAAATATCTCAGGCAGAGGATGGTTTAGCCATTACTGAGCCTACTTAGTCAAGAAAAAACAACTACCTTTTGTGCTAATTAATTGTGCTCTTACAGTTCGGAAGTTTTTCTATCAAATTAGAATTGGCTTTAGTGAAATCCATTATCTCTTGTTCTGTAATATGGAAGGTAAAGAGAAGAAATCTTGACCTTCTGTATGACATTGTTTTAGAAATTTCACAAATCTATAGTTCCCTGGATCTTCCATCTCTCCTTTTTTGAAGGTGGGGTAGATTTATCTTCCTCAAGTTATATGGCACTACCAGTACTCCAGGATTTTTTCAGAGCTAATAATACATAAAAGTTTTGCTAGTCCTTTATTAAAATGTCTTCAGAGTCAGAGGATTAACTCATCGGCTTCCTGAAATTTAAATTAAGTCTAAATAAATATACAAGGGCTATCCACAAAATAGATACGTTTTGCGATAGAAAAAAAAGAAAGTGTAGGAAATTTTTTTTTATTATATACACTTGAAAGTGACACTAAATACTACTTTTCAACATATTCACCAAACAAATTGAGGCACTTATCATAGCAGTGAACAAGCTTTGTAATTACATTGTCATAAAATTCATCTGCCTGAGATTTGAGCCAGTCAGTCACGCCCACCCACAGTTCCACATCATCATCAAAGCGCTGTGTTCCTAGCCAGGTCTTCATCCTCAGAAACAAGTGGTAGTTGCTTGGTGCAAGATCGGGGCTGTAGGGCGGATGAGGAAAAATCTCCCACCTGAAAGCATTCAGGACTTCTCGAGGACTTAATGCACCATTGGCGCACTCCACCTTCAGTGATGATGTTATCCCCATACACTTCACACAGTTGCCGAAAAATTTCAATCGGTTTATGTTTTTTTGCCAACAAAAACCTTATAACTGATTGCACCTCACAACTCGTGGGATTTTCAATTGCAGCACACATTTCAAACATTTGCTGTGAAATAACGGGCAACGATACGAACCTCTCACTAGCATGACTAGATGCAGACTGAGCGGCAGACGCACAGACCAAAGATGGCCACGCTAGCTCCGCCCCTTCTTGCTACAGACAAAAACGTAATCTATTTTGTGGATAGCCCTCGTGTACATTATTTGACCACATGTTGGGCACTCTTAAGTAGTAATGCTTGTTTTTTTATCTTTCTCCTCGTAAGTATATGTTGCAATACATATCTTCTTGTTGAAGAAAACTAAGTGAAAAGAGGAGTCGAATAATCCTTCCTTTTCTTTCTTACCCATTAGTATCTTTCTGTCCTCAGTGAGCAACTGTAGAATGATTGTTTTCTTTGGGAACTCCCAGGAGATTAATCTACTCATAGAAGATAAAAAATAGTGTTGCCTTGCGGTGATTTTAATATTTTCAAAACATGATTTTCCCCTCATTTTTAGGTTTCCAATTATATTGTCTATTGAAAATCACTGTAGTGTTCAACAACAAAAGAAAATTGCCCAGTACCTTAAGGAGATTTTTGGTGACAAACTAGATTTGACCTCTGTGAACACTGGGGATCTCAAGCAGCTTCCAAGTCCTCAGAGTTTGAAAGGCAAAATCCTAATCAAGGTAAACAGTGACAAAGAGTAGCCTGCTGGAAAACTGTAATTTCAATCTTTTATCTACCTTTGTTTTCTTTCCAGATACTGTCTACAGATGAGATGTCTCCTCTGGAATCATGTTGAGTGTGTAGGGGTGTGGGATTGTGTGTGTAACTATAATTAAATAACTGAATGTTAAAATGGAAGAGATCATGGGGTCCTTCTATTAAACTGAAGACCCAAATAGTTTCTGTAAAGTGTCAAGGACAATTCTCAAAAGTGAGTAATACCATGGTCTATTTGGGGAGGCTTTTAGGAGCAAACCTTAAGCATATGCAAGTCTCCAGGAATTCATTTAGGAGACTCTTAAATTTCCAGCCCTGGAAATGCAAAAGAAAAAAAGATTGACATTTTTAGAATAGAATAGAATAGAATTCTTTATTGGCCAAGTGGACAGTGATTGGACACACAAGGAATTTGTCTTTGGTGCATAAGCTCTCGGTGTACATAAAGAAAAAATAAAATACGTTCATCAAGAATCATAAGATACAACACTTAGTGATAGTCATATGTTACTAATAAGCAATCAAATCATACTAGGGAACAAATAAAACAATATAAATTGTAATGATACAAGCAACATGAATATAGTCATAAGTTGGAAGAGATAGGTAATAGGAAGGATGAGAAGAATAACAGTAATACAGAGTTACTTAATGGTTTGACAGTGTTATGGGAATTAGTTGTTTAGTAGAGTGATCACATTTAGAGAAGAACTGTCCTTGTGTCTAGTTGTTCTGGTGTGCAGTGCCCTATAGTGTCATTTTGAGGGAAGAAGTTGAAACAATTTATGTCAAGGATGTGAGAGGTCTGTAGATATTTTCACAGACCTCTTTTTGACTTGTGCAGTATACAGATCCTCAGTGGAAGGCAGGTTGGTAGCAATTATTTTTTCTGCAGTTCTAATTATCTGTTGAAATCTGTATCTGTCTTGTTTGGTTGCAAAGCCAAATCAGACAGTTATAGAGGTACAGATGACAGACTTAATAATTCCTCTGTAAAACCTTTTAACCTACCCCTTATCAGGAGACCTCTGAAGAGAGGCATGAGAATGATACTGAAGGGCTATGTATTGCCCAAGCTATACATTTTACATTCATGATCAAGTTCAATATCCTTTCTCTGTTATAAATAGGAAATATGTATCCATATTCTGCTGAATATCTCTATTGAAGGAGAGAAAATCACCACCCAATGTAATGTATCTCTCTGTTGAATAAGTTATACGATAAAAAAATTCCCAAAGTTTAGTTAAAAAAAACCCTGCTTTCTTACAATTTCTTTTTTATATTCTATTTCTGCTCTTCAAAACATTACACAATAGATCTTTATTTCCTGTATGTAAAACAGAAGACATAAGTAGATAGAAGATTTTTACACATTTGAAGCAAGCTATTAATACTTAATTACTTCATTAATATTTCATGAAGTCTTCTCATCTCCAAATTAATACTTTTATTTAGATAAAGTTGAATTGCCAGTGCATCAGATTCCCAACATGAATATTTTTGACAACATTTAATCAAAGCATTTATTCAAAATAAGATAATTTTTGTATCATTTAATACAGCATTTGGCTATTATTTAAACTTGAATATGTTTAATTTATATACCCTATGAAATCATGATTGGCAATGATGATGGTCAATGCACGTACCCACTGGAAAAAAAAAACAGTAAAAGATTTTCCACTTTTCCAGGCCACCTGTAGCTTCCTTGTTTGGCTCTTAGATTAACCAGTTATCAGTATCAATATCCTTGTAGCAGCCTTCTCCAATTCTGCAGGTGTGGATGCTTTAGCTTCAACAATGGACAACTTCCTTTTGGAATTTTGGGCAAAAAACCAGCATTCCTATTTTAGGGTACCCAAACTAGAGAAAACTCTGGTGGAAAGCAAAACCACCAAACTGTCACCCTTTACGTTTTATATTTCTTTTGAATTCTGTCTTGCGGGAGTGCACTAGCTATATCTGATGACTTTCTAAAACTACAATCTTTCCCTAAGCTGCTGCCCTTTGATACTTCTAAAGAAAAGGCTTTAGTGGGGTGAAATGGAACACTATAGACTCCGTGAACCCCAAGCCAGATATGTGTTTCCTGAATGTGACTTTTATTTGACTAGGTGCATTTCTATTTCATGTGATCCTCCTTAGTACAAGTGCTGTTGCAGTGCTGATAAAAAAAAATGACATAAAATAAATAAGGGGACAGTATCTTCTGTAGAACAGTACGTTTTTATTGGAATTTGGAACTAATCAAAATTGGATGAGTCAGATCAGATCAGCACCTTGTAACAAGCAGGTTTAATTTCCTGAAGATCAATCTTACTCATATTTTTTATTAACAAAATGCTTTGCCAAATCTCAGTTTATCAGCTCTTGCAAATAACACACTGCTGCTCTAAATAACACTACTAAGTTTGCAAGCTACATGTGCCAACTGCCTTTTAAAGTAGCCATAACTGCTTCTCTGATAGAAAAGGACATTTAAATCCATTATTGTGCAGTTATGAAGACAAAAGCTTGGTAGATGAAAAATGAAATAATTAAGAGTTCTGGCAAATAATTTTCACTTAGCCATTTATTTGTCTCAAATAGCCTATAATACAAATATATTGTGCATATGGAGATGCTTAGTGTAATTTGTTGCTTTTCCCTCACTGTTTTGTTTTATAAGATTGATTGATTTCTAGCATGTTTCTATAATAAAATCCTTATTAGAATATCTATTTAAGTTCCTTGGGGTAGGATATAAAAAACAATAAAAATGCAGCACAATATAAAAAAATGTAGCTGAGATCATAGTTGGATACAGTTATGTAGGCCACCAAATTCAAATCCCTGCTAAGTATAGGAATCGATAATAAAGTATTTCCAGTGAGCATAGCTTAAACTCACACCATACAGATGTGGCTTAAAACTTTTGGTATGCCCCAATGTCAGAAGTCTTTCACAGTGACTAGTTTTTGGGTGTCAGTCTGAGGGAAAGTAATAAACTTTTGCCCTGCCATTGAATAGATTATAAACTACAGTAGGTATGCATTTCTAGGAGCCATTCTGCATATGTTGTGCCATTAGTGAATATACAACTCTATCTATGCAACTGACAAATGTCTCTAAATAAGTGTGCAGAAAGTGATTTAACAAATTTAACAGAATAACAGAGTTAGAAGGGACCTTGGTGGTCTTCTAATCCAACTCCCTGTCCAAGAGGAACTATACCATTTCAGACAATACCATTTCTTAAAAACCTTCAGTGTTGCAGCACCCACAATTTCTGGAGGCAAGTTTTCCCACTGATTAATTGTACTGATTTCTCAGAATAATCTGAAAATCCAGATAAGTATATATAGGAGCTGTTGAAGCCATGTTAAAATAGTAACAGTTTGAGATTGATTCAGGAAAGGATTGAAGTTGTTGATAACATTTAGCCATTTAATCGCATTTAGCGGCTTTGGTGCTTTATTACACGGGTGTCAAACTCAATTGCGTCACGCAAGGTCACATGACTTATGTTTTTTGCCTTTCTGGAGCCAGGGTGAGTGTGGCCTGCATGTGATGCATCTGGCCTGCTGGCTGCCAGTTTGTCACTCCTGCTCCATTAGTAGAGTTTTCTGGTAATTCCTGTAGATAATTTTTCTGCCTTATGGTTAAACTGTTTCAATAGGTGATAGTATCTCACCTATCTTTATCAGTTACCTGGTTTAAGTTACTTTATCAGCCTTGGCAGTTAAGTAGAGCTTAAGTAGAGTGGTGGGATTCATTTTTTTTATTACTGGTTCTGTGGCCGTGGCTTGGTGGACATGGAGTGGCTTGGTGGGTTTGGTAGGGAAAGGATACTGTAAAATCTCCATTCCCTCCCCACCCCACTTTCCAACTCCGTTCTCCTGTGCAGGGCAACAAAAGAAGACCCAGCCGATCAGCTGGGACTCGGGAGGCAGAGAATAGATGGGGTGGGTCCAGTTAGAGGTGCTATTTGCCGGTTCTCCAAACTACTCAAAATTTCCACTACCGGTTCTCCAGAACTGGTCAGAACCTGCTGAATGCCACCTCTGGCTTTAGATATGAAATTTACATGAATTCAATTGTTGTAGAGAAGTTGAACATGCCAGCAGAAGGCATTGACAGAAAACAGCATAACTGGGTTCATGCAGTCATTAGGAATTTAACTTAAGGGAGTCTTTGCCTTTTATATCTGAACTGGGTAGAAGCAGTTTATTTACATTCAGGGAAAAGTTTTGGAAAAGCTGTTTATTACTCGCCTTGAGATGTTACTCACCCTTTCACTTTGAGAGCAGTAAGCCAAGTAAAGGCTGATTAGAGCATCCATTTCTAACGGACTATTAACCTGCTCATTCATGCTGTTAAAAGGAAATCATTTTCATCCAGTTTTTCATTCAGACAAGTTTCCCCGTCCAGTTTCTAATCCTGATAAACATATTTCCAAGATCGTATGTTTGGGAAGTTCTGAATTAAAAAATTTGAATGAAGGGTAGCCAAAGCTCATGTCTGTGAGGCTTAGCTTTTGAAAGGATACTACAGTATGTGACTAATGTACTATTTGGAGCCATTTTGATGGAAATAATGGAAGGCACTTTTAGCTAACAATGATTTCTTAGGTCACCATTAAATCCCATAGTAAAATGTGCTGCAAATCACCAGTCTGTTATAGGAGCTGCATGGTCTCTGCATCTCCTTAATGCTCCTCTTTTTTCTTGCCTATATGGGCTGTCAGAGGCCACCACTTGTCTTTGTCTCTTCAATATTAACCCTAACCTTCTCATAGCACAGAAAAAAAAAGCCCAACAAAGATGAGTAGGAAATAGCCACCAAATCTTTTATCAAAAGACAAGCGGTTACAAAGGGCTGTTCAGGGAGGATCAGGTTGTGGCGGTGGAAAAGGATTTTCTGAAGAGCTAAGCTCTCTATGAATTTATTTCTTAAAGGCTTTCTTACTCTTGTCAGCTGTTAAATCCTGATACCCTTTTCAATAACTCTGTCAACTGTGCAAAAGAAATACAGAGAGTCTAGAACTATAAATCAAGACTATGTTATAGTTTTGCCATTATGCCTGTCAAGGGTTCTTTTCAACTACATCCAGCTCAGTGGCTCAAATCACAAAACAGCCCAAAACAACACAGGTTCCTAAACAACACCCATAAGACTCATGTACTCACACGATTACTCATTATTCATTCTTCTCCACTCTTCCCCACTGCTACTGTTTCTCTAGCTACTGCTACTCCAACTACTTTAAACTCAACTGCTTTGACTTTAAACCCTTACCACAGTGTCCTACCACCATTACCTGTTCATGTCTCTCTGCCTATATCAGGGTCCCCAAACTTGGCAACTTTAAGACTTGTGGACTTCAACTCCCAGAATTCCTGCGTTAACATGACTGGAGCTATGCTGGCTGGAGAATTCTGGGAGTTGAAGTCCACAAGCCTTAAAGTTGCCAAGATTGGGAACCTCTGGCCTATACTCTGTTTCAACCAATGGGATCATCTCAGTCTGCCTAAATACATGAGCCTCTTTCCCTTTTTCTATTAAATGAGGACATACTAACACCTATCTGTTCAGTATATCTGATACACTTCAGAAATCTCCAGTACATGTGATTTGATGTATCCTTATCAATTTAGTTTTCATGGAGTTTCCAGACTTTTGTTAAATTACTGAGTTCTGAAGCACAACCATTTGATGGGAAGTTAATGTTAAACCACTTGTTGTTGCCTAGCCAACAAGTATTAAGAAACTATGATTGAGCGAGACCTTGTCAAGAGGTGCTCATGAAGAGAGACCTATTTATTGCAGATAGGGAGGGGTCTGGGAATAGTCTTGAGTTACATTATATTTAAAGTTGCTTCATTCATAGAGCACTTTAGAGCCCTAGAAATTTCTTTTTATTGACTTAGTTCCCAACCCAAGATTGATTACGGTTTTTCAGGACTTTAGACAGTTATGTTTTTTCTTATTTATGGGATTGATTTATCACAGTTGGATAGAACTCTAGGCTGTGCACTGTATCCAAATTAGCAAATGCTACTAAATTAGTAAAGCAAAGTATATAAAGAATGATAATAGAAGTGTATACAATTATGCGCCTGAGCAGAGAGAGATATACTTTCTCAAATGTGTCAGCTTGTTCTTTAATGAAAAACAAGACTGTGGCCATTAATTAGAAAGTTTTTAAAATGGGATTAGAAAAATTATTGGAAGATAAAAAGTTATTTGTCATTAATGGCTATATATTGAATTCAGACTATGAAAACTAGTAGCAGGGGAACATATTGTATTCAACTTTTGCTGGTGAATTTCCCAGGAGGCATCTGACTGGAATACACATCCCTGGATCTGATCTATTTTTGGTCTGATTCAACAAGCCTCTTGTTATACTGTGCTGTTAATCATGCAAGTATGTGATATGCTCAGCTAGAGATCCTAGAAACAGCTGTTCTATGTACCGTGGAGAATATGTAACTGGCTTTAGATTGGAAGAGATTCTGAAAAAGTGATTGAGAAACTAGCAGGGACAAAAGATAGAATCTTCAGTCACTTAAAGTAATGCCCTGGGACAGAAATCTATTTTGAATTTACAGGATCATCCATTACTAAATGTAGGATTACTTCAAATATACATCAGAAAAAGTGAAGAGTCTGTTTATTTTAATTTAGATAACAGAGAGTAGGAGAACATTGATCATTTCATTATTTAGAAGCTACTGGAATAAAACTGGACATGAGTACCTGCTCTATTATAATTTTCTAAGTAATAATTTCATATGATGCTACTGTACATATCATTGGATTTATTTAGATTTCTAATGTACATTTATCATAAACTGTTATTTTTTACTGAACAAGTAAGAGTTGAATTTCATATTGAAATAGCATTTTTTTTAAAAAAAAGTATTGTTATTTTCATTTTTAGGGTAAAAAGCTCCCATATAGTCTCGGTGCAGATGCTGAAGAAGGAGAGGTTTCTGATGAAGATAGTGCTGATGAAATTGAAGATGACTGCAAATTAAATTTTTCTTATGTAAGTCCATATATCTAGCATGTTTTCTGATGGTGGTTTAAATCTGGATTTTCCCACACTGCCAATTCTCCCTTAATGTAAATATAAAGTAGACATGGCCAGAACCAAAGTTCAGCTAAAGTTAATGAAGCAACTTTGAAGTTAGTGACTTCCTGGATATGCCTGAGTATCCCAATGGTGCTTTTTCAGGAGGCAACTGGACTTTCTTGTTTTTTCTTTTGAAGACGTATTGCTTCTCATCCAAGAAGCTTCTTCAGCTTTGACAGGATAATGGGGAATGGAAGGATCCTGTCAGAATTGAAGAAGCTTCTTGGATGAGAAGCAAAATGTCTTCAAAAGAAAAAACAAGAAAGTCCAGTTGCCTCCTGAAAAAGC